TGATTTAAAATATGTGTTCACTTTTTCTGTAGTATATAAACCCTCTTATCTTTATTTAACATTTTTGTTGTGTTCACTCAGTTGTATACAAAATATTTTTACTCATAATCTTTGCGTACATTCTTTGCTAAATAAATCTTTAATGAGTTTTTTGTACACAAAAAAGTAAAACAAAAAATATAATATATTTTGTTTGTTTTTCAAAAATAAACTCTCCTGGGATATCATTAAGTCAGACATAAAAAACACTTAATATAATAGATACTCATTAATTATGTAACAATAAAAACGGTTTACGTTTGACGTTATACAATAATTATAACTAGATTATATTTTTATAATAAAATGTGCGTATAATTAACAGTTAATATGTTATATAAATAAACTTATTTTTAATGGTAACACTATTTCATAACTTATCAATGCTTAGCATTATATTTTCAAAAATGTATTAAACTATATGATGTAAACATTTATCATCCAAATCCGTTTGAAAAATAATAATATCGTAAAGTTTTATTCAAATATGGGGTAATTTTTTTTATAGTTAACTGTACAGGGCACAGACTTTTTTGTGTTTTACATTATTTCTTACGATTTCATAATTTCGTTAGCATTTGTTACAAATAAAATAAAACATACATTATATTGATTTTGCATTTTTTCACTCACAATCGTCTCAGACATGTATACATGTAAGTCATTAATAATATATTTATAAAACAATATTCTTGTATTATGTATATAGTCTACATAACTATATTTTATACAATTTTAAAACATTCTCGCTATAAATATAATATTGAGTATTGCATGACATTTTTGTAAAGGATTATATCTAAATATATTTTTTTCATAGTTTTTGTTGCAAATGAGACAATAATCATTATACAATATTTTATGTTATAAATTCATAATTTCACTCATTATATAATATTTAAGTATTAAACTTATAGCTATAATTATACAGGTATTTATAGCATTTTTATTATGAATGGGAAAGTGTGTAAAGGGACAAGGGGGTTTGCAAAGCGTATAAAACAGAATATTCTGTAAAACACACTAAACTATATAATATATTTTGTGCGTTTTTTGAGCTTTTTTGTACAATTTATTTGTTTTACATTATTTTCAGAAATAATACAATAAAACTTAATATGATTCAAAACACATACAGAGTATATCTTATATCAACACTAACAAAACAGCTAGAAATAATTTATAGCTATCTACTTTTAAAATGTTTTCAATTGATATAAATCTTACGATAAAACAATATCTGACTATATTGTTAGCGAGGTAACATCATGTTTTATTGTACGCTATCAATAACATTACGATATCCTAATGTGTAATGGTGTGTAACGTGTACAATGATAACTACCCGAGTGATTTAGCGGCTTACGGCGCTATTAATATCAAATAATAGGGCCAATAGATTAGGTTAAACACCAAGAAAAGTATGGGAAACATGACACGGCTTATAATGTCAATCTTTTCAGGGGTACCGGCGCTCTGGTCACCCAATGCTGAGTTGTCTCGCGGCTCCACCTCCTCCGACACGACTGCCAAAAGTTTTTTGTCTAAACAGTTGGACACCGAATCGATACCTTTCCGCTGGGAAAGACATGTTATGTTAGTTTGGATTTGATTTGTTTGAATGCAAATGAAATGTAAAGAAAAATAATAGTATAAGAAATGAGACATAAAAAGCAAATAAATTAAATGCAAATCGTTTTCATTTATATTCAAATTGTTTGCGTATTTTATGCGAGAATTTCAAAAGTTTTTTTGTTTGCATTTGTATTTGAAATACTGTATAAAAGTATTTAAGAAAAACAAACTTTTTTTATGACAATTAACTCGCAATGAATGGCTCACCTCTTGGCACAGATTGTTAGGTTTGGGAGGTTTGGGTTCAAACTTATTGATACGCCATAAATAATTGACCAAGGTGAACTCCAGTAGTGCCGAGAATACGAATGTAGTACAGGCGCCCATCCATACGTCAATAGCTTTGGCGTACGAAACCGGGGGTAAATTACTTTGAATGCCAGCCCCTATATAAACACATAAAAATTATTATAGATTTATGAAAATAGTAATTTTTATTATATTTTATGATATAACTAGCCTTTCGATGAGATAGTAAGCAAGGTGGTCACGCCTAGCGTTATGCGGGCCGGTATGGCCTCCACGTCCAGCCAGAATGACACCCACGATATGACTACTATTAGTATAGTCGGTAGGTATGACTGCACCAAATGATACCCCAGTGCTCTCTGGAGGTAGAACTCGGCCTTAAGACAACTGTATTCACCTGTCGTTTAGTGGACAATGAGTTTAGAGAATATTCTTACGAGTGATATATAGGTTAATACAGAATATTCTGTGCACTGCATACCGATATGAAAGGTCTCTTTACACAGACTTGTGGTGGTATTAGTGATGAGAAATTGGGGTAATTTTAGTTTGTCGTACAGTTTCACGGGTGATATGTCCGACCACTTTAGGTTGAGCTCAGTTGTCGTCTTAGAAACTGAATAACATTTTGTTTGCAAATAAAAATTTATATTTAATTATAATGTATTGAACGGTTAGATTAAAATCTCATTAATCAACGTATCTATCATTTTATAGTACATTAGCCGATAGTATGTAAAAAGAAAAATAAATTTTATTTATTATATAACTAATTATCACTGAAAACAGTGAGTCTTATAGTGAATTGAAAATCAATTTTACTCAACGCTATAAGTACTGCGAAAAGCAAATATAATACTTGGAAAACACAAACAAAAAGGATTGACATGTCAGTGGAAATACATGTCTTGGAAATAGTGGAGATAAATAGAGTGTATATAATGGGAAAGGTATTGAATTGAATTGAAAGTAATTATGTGTTTGGCTTACATGAGGCCAACTCTATGCCGCACACCTGGGCGTCCATTGGGTACCGGTACAGGTCCATCATACACGAGAATCGCAGTTTGAGTCTACCAGGGTTCAATTTATATACATTAACTAAAGGTGTTTAAGTAATTTATCAGGTAATCGATTTCGATTATATTTAATACAGTATTGAGTATAGTATTAGTG